CATGCAATGTCCCATCAAATGTCCTCTAAGCAGCATGGGGTACGCTTGGCAAGGAAATTTCGATGCGTCATTCCTACTTGGTAATGGCCCTCAGCAATGATTGGCTCTTCTGTTTTAGAGAAGATTATTCAGTTTATTGTATCAATTGGATTTTTAAGTTACCTTTCCCTCGCCCCCTGCAGTGCTGGGGATTGAACTCAGGGCCCTTGTACATGTTAGGCAAGTGTTCTACCCTGATATACCACCAGTTCTCAGTTGGATTTTTAAAAAGATAAATTGAAATATGCTATTTCTACCTTTAATAAACTTAGAATTCCTCCATTGGATAAATGAGTTTTATTCTTTCAATATCTCATATTCTGTCTTTTGGCTTGTATGTGACCTAATTATATTTTCATAACTTTTGAGAACTCTTCATCATCTCCTGAGGTAAGAATGGTTAAAAAGGGGAGGGTTAACATTAATGACATGAAAAAGTTACTGATAGTCAATAAATGCCTGACTTAAAAGGTAGAATCTGTTTTTTGAGAAGAAAGATGATAAATGAGAGAGCCCAAGTTTTGTATGTGTTTTTTACTGTCTTTGAATGTTACTTACTATGTAATATCTTATAGGCAAAGAAATTGAAGGAGACTGAAGATACCCCAAGTGAACCATCTTTCCAGGATTTCGAGTACCCTGAGTATGATGACTACAGGGCAGAGGCTTTCCTGCACCAGCAGAAGAGGATGGAATGCTATAGCAAAGCTAAGGAAGCTTACCGAATGGGGAAGAAAAATGTTGCCACCTTTTATGCCCAGCAGGTAAAGTAGAAAACTGTTTATAATTCATCTCTTTGTTAGTTATGGTATCTAAATAATCTTAAAGCAGATAACCCTGTATTGTGTTGTGATTATATTATACTGGGTAGGAGGCGTGGTTTGGAGATTATATAAGTGATATCAATAAGGCATTCTCATGTAAACAAAATGTGGTTGTGTGAATTTAATCTCCTTTGAATGCTCAGTTATTTTATATATTTTTAAATACTTTTTTAGTTGTTGATAAATCTTTATTTTATTTATTTATATGTCGTGCTGAGAAATGATCCCAGTGCCTCACACATGGCCAGGCAAGTGTACTACCACTGAGCCCCAGCCACTCAGTTGTTTTATATTTATAGCCTATGTGAATTACATATTATTCTGACAGTCCATATTTTCTTTAAGATTAGATTCGATCATTCAGTGCCACTTCTAAATGGGTAAGTTTTCTGGAGGAAAGGAAACAATATATCTCAGTGGAATTACTGGGTATTGGGCTTTCTGTTGTATTTGAATCTCTAGTAATGTATCACTTTTATGGTCAGAAAAAGAAAATGACATTAATATTTTTTAGGGGAATTAAATTTCTACCTGGGCTCATTTTGCATGGTATTTTAAGAAATCCTCTGGATTTACTTTTCATTTTATGGTTCCACAATGGCTGTTTTGTGGTTGACCAGAGAAAGGTGTCAAGCTGGTATAGCTCTGTGAGCCCTGATAACAGGGCCCTGGCGATGACTGTAGGAGGTAATTGTGGGATGGTGAGAGGGAATGACCCTGAAACCAAGATTATCAAAGGGCACACCTTGTTATCAATATTGAATGAGTGGGCTCTTTCATGAGATGGCTAGTGTTTAGTTTCCTTCTTTTATTATTTTTGGTTCAAAAAATTTGGTAGAAACCATGATTCAATATTTTAAAACTACATTATTAATCTGCAGAAATTTACCTAAATTTAGGTGCGGTTCTTGTTCTTTAGCCCGTTGGATTATTTGAGATTTTAGGTTTATCGTTCTGCCTTTTATTTAGAGCAGAGGAAATGTTAGTTTCCTCTTCATTTACGTAGAAAATATCTGAAATGTCCATTGGTGATTTGTTGACAATTAAAGGGCAGTCTTCATGAGCAGAAAATGAAAGAAGCCAACCACCTTGCTGCTGTGGAGATCTTTGAGAAAGTTAATGCCTCCCTGCTGCCACAGAATGTCTTAGACCTCCATGGGCTGCATGTGGATGAAGCAATAGAACATTTGATGACAGTTTTACAGCAGAAAACTGAAGGTAGGAGTGAAGTGATGACCCATTTTTCTATTGTGAATAGAAATTGTCTTTTGATATAACTTGCAAATTCAGGAGCAACTGAACATGCAGACTGGGGATATCTGTGCCACATGTAATATGAGTGTCTTGTTGGCTTAGCATAGCTATATTCGTCATTCTTCCATAGAGCCTTCTTGTAGACAGTTCTCATTGGAATGACCATTATTCACATTGTTTCCCTTTATATCTCAGTCTTGGTTATTTGCTATATTTATTGAAGGGAGGCGTAGTGTAGTCTGAGAATCTTTTGTGACTTATTTATAAATAAGACATTTCAGTAATATTGTATATTTTTGTTCAGATGATGTTTGTTAAGCAATAGATATTTATAGGATATAAATTGTTTAATTGACATTTAATAAAATATAAAAGTAAATAAGGTGATAGATTTTTGCAGAATTGTCAAGTCAGTACACCCAATACTTCCTGGAGTTACCACTTTTTTTCTGTGTGTGTGTGGTGAGGATACTTGTGATCTAGTCCTAGCATATTTCAAGTATATAATATAGTATTATTAGTAATAGCTGCCATTGTTACACAAGCTTCTTGGAACTTACTGTTAAAATTGAAAGTTTGTACCACTTAACCAATATCTCCCAGCTACCACTACTCTCTTCTCCTGGGCTTTCCTTTTCAGATTCCATATATAAGTGAAATTATACAGTATTTGTCTTTCTCTGCTTGGCTTATTTTAACAGATATAATGCACTCTAGGTTTATCCATATTTGAAAATGATAACATTTCCTTCTTTTTACATCATTGAATAATCTCTGTGTGTGTTTGTATACACAAACAAAATGTAGTAGATCCATACAATGGAATTTTATTGTATGATTCCATTTAACCAAATATCTTAATAGGAAATCCATAAAGACAGAAAATAGATTCATGGTGTCTGGGGCTGGAAAGGAGTGGGATTGGAGGTGACTGCTAATAGGCACAGAATTTCTTTTGGAGATGATAAATGTTCTCTGTTCTGGAATTAGGGGGATTGGTTGTAAAATGTAAATATACTAAAAATCACTGAATTATACATTTAAAATGATATTTTGTTATGTGAATTTTATCTCAATTAAAAAAATTATAAGAAAAAAGAAATACTTTGCCCATGGTAATACCTCTTCATAGCTAAGATACAAATTTTTTCTGGAAGCCAAAGCCCATCTTGTTATGATGTGACCTATAGTAGCCTGTAGTTACTGCAAATCACCACCAGATGGTAGTATTGTTGAATAGAAACGTTTTCAGGGGGAAAACTGTGGCTCTGCCCTGCATTGCTTTTTGTCACAGCATAAAAGGATTGTCAAAATTGTAGATTTGTAAAAAAATAGAGACATTCTGGGCCTTGTGTTTTGTGACTTAAGTTCACATCACTGCCTAAAGAGTATTTTTGCCCCCAAATCCAACCAGAAGTTGATCAAGCCTTAAGCTCTGATTACATATTGTAGAGATTTATGCGGGATAGAGGAACATGTTAAACAACACGAATGGGGATGCGTCAGCAAATCCAGATTGTCAAAAATCTAGGATAAATGAATCATTTTTTCCCCAATATTTTTTAAAGAAAAACACAAAAGGAGGGAAAAACCTTTAGATTAAAAGTTACTTAAGAAATATACCAAGCTGAACAGTAGTGCTGGTGCATGGTCCATAATCCCTCTGGAGGCTGAAGTAGAAAGTTTGCAAATTTGAGGCCAGCCTGGGCAGCTTAGTGAGACCCTGTGTCAAAATAAGAAATAAAAGGGCTTGGGATGTAGCTCAGTGTCCACCCGAGCCCAATCCTTATTCCCCAGGACCACAAATAAACAAACACTAAGTTGGGCATGATGGCATCTGCCTATAATCCTAGCTTTTCAGGAGGCCAAGGCAGGAGGATTGTAAGTTTGAGGGCAACCTGAGTAACTTAGTGACACCCTATCTCAAAACAAAAAAGGGAGGGGATGTAGCTCAGGATAGAGCATTCCCAATTCAATCCCAGTATTGAAAACAAAATGCACGTGTATGTGTGTGCATACGTGTACATATATACACATACTAGCCATTCAATCTCCATTCAGTCCCCAGCACCACTGTGTGTGTGTGTGTGTGTGTGTGTGTATGTGTGTGTATTATGTGTACAAACATATACACATCAACCAAATGTAATATGTGGACTTATTTAAATCCTGATTGGAGGGTGGGAGGAAGTGCTGGGGAAATTTATTGGCCAAATTATATTGTTATATTGTGTGCATGTAGGAAAATGTACCAATAAATCATCAAATCCCATCATCATGTATACACCAGTAAAAATGTGGAAAAAATAAATCCTGATTCAAACAAATCACTTTAAAAATACTTTTTAAAAATAACTGGGAGAGAAATTTTTAGAAACTGATGATATTAAGGAGTTATTAATTTTGTAAGATGGTGATGTTGCTGGTTTTTTTTTTTTTTTTTTTTTTTTTTTTGAGATGGGGGCTCACTGTTGCCCAGGCTGTTCTCTGACTCCTGGACTCAAGTGATCCTCCTGCCTCAGCTTTCTAAGTAGCTGTGACTACTGGCACATAACCAGTGTGTCTGACTTGTAGTGACATTTTTTAAGAGTGCTTTTTTGAGATACATATCGATATATTTGCAGTTGAAATAGTAAGCAGTCTGGAATGTGCTGAAAAGTGAGTTAGAGTTTTTTCAAAAGTGTTAAACAGCAGGAACAGCCTGTAATTTGGGAAGTTAAACATACGCTTTAATTAATTAATGAAACAAATATCCTCCGAACTCCCACTTTGAGGCATGTGAATCAACTGGACAATACCTTCAGAGCAGCATGTGAACTTTGAAAGGTGAGGTGGTATAAATGACCTAACCTATAAGGAGAACAATAATGAAGGAGTGTGTGAGAGTGAATTTTGGTCAGTTAAGAGATTTAAGGTGTTTTTGGTAAGTAAACTTTTGGGATATAACATACCTGAACAACAGTTCCCTTATTTACAGGTGTGTAGTATAAAGCCTTTTTATAAAGTGGAAGCCTAACTATAGGTAGCACCCAGAAAGAGATGTTTTAACAACATTGCTTGAAATAATGGCTATGGATTAGAGTAGAAATGGGAAATTTAGGCAAATATAAGGAATTAAAAATGCAAGAACTGTGTTCTTTTAAAATTCTAAGCCTAGCCAGGTGCAGTGGCAGATGCCTGTAATCCCAGTGACTTGGGAGTCTGAGGCAGGAGGATCCAAAGTTTAAGGTTAGCCTCAGAAATTTTGCAAGACCATCATCAACTTAGTAAGATCCTGTCTCAAAAATAAATAAATAAATAAATAAATGAAATAATAAAAAGGAATGGGAATGTAACTAAATAGTAAAGCATCCCAGGGTTCAATCCCCACTATCAATCAATCAATAAAAATAAAATACAAAATTCTTTTTTTCCTAAGCCTAACATTGCTCTGGAGATGATAAAACTTGAAAAACCATCTGATGGGGTTTTCTTGGTGTATTAGGACAACTTAATGAGCAGAAGATGAAATGCTATGTTATGTTTGTATGTATTTTATGCTAAGAGCAAAACTTGGGCTATTTATGAACGAAGATATTTATTGAGTTCATTAAATCAACTTTGTATCATGAGCAGGTTTTGTTTTTTTGTGCTTTTACAATTGTCATTAACTTCAAGATTTATATACTGGCTTTCCCAAGGTCATATCTAAAGCAGGAACTTCAGTCGTTCAAAAATCTTAGGCTCATTCAGTATTTTAACTGTTATCTATCAGGAAGAATTTCTTAACAATCATCTTTAACAGTAGGACTACACTTCATGGTATAATTAGTGAGTTTGCTAATAGCTCTTCTTGGGGGGTAGTCTATAAAGTAATCCTGTTATCTTATTTTCCTGATGAGGAAAACAGACACAGGGGAAGCTAAGTAACTTGTGCACAGTCATACAGTCATTTGTTGGCAAAACTGTGATTTGGACAAAAATATAAGTCATTTAAAGCATGCCCAACCCTCTGTGTATAGTAATTGTTAGATGTAATTAATATTGTTGCTGTCACCATCATTTCAGAGAGAACTTGCAGTAATGCATGGAAACCTCCTTTCCCATAGAAGTCCCACTTAAGTTTTTCAGGTAGAGAAATTGCTGTGAGGCAATGTATTTTTTTAAATATATTTTTTTGGTGTTGATGGACCTTTATTTTATTTATTTATATGTGGTGCTGAGAATCTAACCCAGTGCCTCATGCATGCCAGGCAAGCACTGTACCACTGAGCCACAACCCCAGCCCAGCAGTATATGTTTTAAAACATTTTTAATTTGGGGGCTTTCTGAGGTAATGAGCCTCTAAATCATCATGAAAATTTCATATGCATTTGAGTAGTTAAGGCATGTTTTCTGTTGAGAATGTAAGAAATGATTTTATCTGTTCCAATTCCTGTTGTAACAGAGTTTAAACAGAATGGTGGTAAGCCCTATCTTTCTGTGATTACTGGGAGAGGAAACCACAGCCAGGGAGGAGTTGCTCGCATCAAACCAGCTGTCATTAAATACCTCACAAGCCATAGCTTCAGGTGGGTACAGATTTCTGGTATTAATAATGACAATTACCCATATGTAGTTAGGTAAACAGTAACAGTATGCTCAGACTGTTTATCATAATAGTTAACTGAATTGAACCTCATGGTTTAGGCCCAGGTTCATACTTGGACTAGGGTGTAACTTCCCTGCTACATTTATGTGGTGCGATAAACCAGCAATAAAAAAATCATATTTCTTTTCAGTAATCGTCTGATAAAACTTTATCATAACTTTGAAATTCTAAAAAATAATATAGAATATATTAAATATATTTGTGTTCCTTTGATAATATATTATGTAATTAGATTATATGTATACATACCATAGATTAAGCTTTGCTGTTAAATTTTTCTTTTGAAAGAAAAAATATTTTTAAATGGAATTGGACTTTTGCTAAAATATAGTTTAATTTGACAGTGTGGAAACTTTTTAGCAGGAACTATTCAGTTTATATGAATTTATATGTCTTCATAAGTTAAGTTCCATTAATGATTTTTGCTGACATACATTAAAGTGTCCTTTTTTATTGTGACCATTATTCAACAACAGAAAATGCCAAGTCCAAGATTAAAGATCTGTTGATGGATAAATTTCCTGAGGATATATGCTCTTAAGTCATGCCTCCCATCCAATTTTAGTTAGGGTAACCACTTATTTCATTTTTGCCATTTTGTGTATGGCATGTAATAAAATGTTTCTTGGCTACAGTGTAGAAAAAGGTAGCTTTTTTTCTGAGCATGAAAACAAGTGACATTTCAGATATTTTTACAAAGGAGTAGTTAGACCAGAAATGTTGAGATTAATGATCTATTTTATTGCCTAATGTTCCTTGAAATTTTACCATGAGACAATTAAAAGTATTGCATGGCCAGAATCTGACTTCCCTGCTTTATGAGAGATTTCTTGATGCTTTATGCACAAAAACAGTGTAATGCAGACCCCATCTTATCCTCCATATAGCAGACTCTTCTTCATGAAGGCCAAATTCATAAAGGCTTTTGAGAGGCTTTGAAAAAATCTTAAATTGTGTTGACTATTGAGTTAGGAGTAACCCGCAGTCTTAGGGTTATATTTGTTTTGATAATAGATTAAAAGAAACATAAACATAGACAAAGGAGAGCACTTTGTTAGTAAAGATCACTAAGCATAAATACTTAAAAAAGATACATTTCTTAGTCAATTTGAAAATTTTATCTTTAAAACATCTCTTTTCTCATTTCTGCAGGTTCTCTGAAATTAAACCAGGGTGCTTGAAAGTCATGCTAAAGTAAAATAAATGTCCTTGACTTAGAAGTATGAAGGTTTGTAGGTTAAAATTAGTTTTATTTGAAATAATTCAATCAATTCTGCTTTAAACGTGTGTTTTATTAGGAACAATGTTCACTTATAAGAAAAAAATTGTTTTTCAAAATTGAAGAGAAGTTAATTTTTTTACTGAATCAAATTCCAAGTAATGTTACCTGTTAAAAATATTAAAGAGAATTTTTATGGATTTCAAAATGTCTAAGAAAATTATCAGCTGCAATTTTAAAGTCTGAAGTGCTCTGATTCTTTCTCAAAGAGAAAATGCTACCTTTGTATTAATTGTTGTTTGACGTTTAGCAAAGTCCTAAAGGCTTCTGTGAGAGGTAATGTGCTTTGAGAACTGGTTCAAACCTTTTAGAGGTGTGTATTAATATTAGTAAAGAAAGAAAGGCTATCTAACAACAACACTTGAATTCTTTTTGCTTTTGAAGCCAAATACATAAAATCATTTCATTTTATCATGTCCTGCAAAAGGAAACTTGTGGTCATACTTTTTTCTGCTTTGTATGTGACTCATCTCTTTCCTTTTGTTCTGTTCTTCTGTGTATGCATTTTCTATGAGGAAAGTTGGGTCTGAGATTATCTTGTAGTCTTATCCTTTCTGTAGGCTGAAAGGTCTTCAGAGGTGAGATGGCGGGCTGTCTGCCACTCGTTACTGCCTTCTAGGACTCCCAGAACCAACCATTTGCCCGAGTGGCAGCAGAGACAGCACTAAAGAACTATATTTTATATTGGGGGCATGTAACTTCTAAACTAGTAGGTCACAATCCTGTTAATTTAAATCAGAAGACATTTTTAATATCATCATAAAAGGAATCTGTCCAGTTTAAAAGATTTTTACGTTTATTTTGAAAAAGAGCCAACTTTCGGAAACTTTCATTGATTCCTCTTGTTTCATTAGCTAACAAGTCCTGTAAGTATGTAAATTATAATTTCTTTTATACAGATTTAGTGTGGTAATGTATAATTTTTTAGTATGAGATAGTGACTAAAATAAATTTGATTTTGGATATATAGAAGACTTTCAACATATAATTTTCGCAAACAATTGTGTTGCTTTTTATTTAGTTTAAAAAATCATTTGGACAGGAATAATAGGATTGTTACCAAAAATATCCTGGAAATACAGAATGATTTCCCAAATAAGCAAACATTTTAATGAAAATAACACTCAAAAAATGTGTTTTTATGAATCATCCATGCATGCTTTTAAAAGAAAAAGCCTATCTTTGAATTTATTTCCACAAAAAGGAATATATGTTTATTATTCAGAAATGCTAATGACTGGTGAAGTAGTATTCACTTTCTTACATTTGTAATAATTCATGGGAAAACATGCCAATAAACTAAACTGCACACTTTTGTAATGTTTAGAAGTGTTGTATACATTAAAATAGGCAATTCCTTTTGACAATTTATTATAAAATTATACTTGTTAATGAAATAAAAATATCCCTATGTATAAATTAACATGATTTAAAAGCAATTAAAAACAACACTAAAATGTGGAGTACTGGAGTATATGCAGTTGCATACTCACTTTTTGTGTCTATATTTTCTCACCTGGTTAAAAAAATATCACTTTTGAGCCCTTCGGCCAGATTTACTTCAATATTATGATGATAATGATTGTTAATAGGGGAGCAGTCAAAAGTAGTTATGGTAATCTATGAGTAAAACCTAAATGAAAGAAGCTATGTTCTATACTGTATCAACTTCAATTTTATGTCTTATTTTGGTAAATCTGGTAATATTTCTTCATTACCATTGATAAATTTTCAAGCAGAGTTTGTGCATTATAAATATTTTTATGAAGTTGTTTAAACCTATACTGCCTCCTGCCCTCCTACCTAGTATAGTTTAAGTAACACGTAATTTGGGAAAGAAAATTTATGATCCCTTTTCTTTTGCCCATTTTCAAATCCTATATGCCAGAAGGGAAGATAGCTTGGGCATTATTGAAGTTTTCATGTGATGGTATATTAGAAGAGCTCTTTGTAAACTTTAAAATATTTGAAAAGCATAGCACTTCTGTGGTTTGGAAGGCTTTAGTATCAAATCCATTCATATTCTCTTACTGGTATCATCCAGAGGAAAGAGAAAAAGAGAACTAATGTAGAAACCGCAGAGTGCCTGCCTCTGGGCCAGGGGATTCTTAACAGTGTTTGCAATCTGTCTATCTCCTTTGTCCAACGTGAGAAATTAGAAGCATGTTTTCATACACTTATTGGCTGTTCATATATCTCTATGTTATTTTCAAGTTGAAGTTTCTTCTAATAGTATTTCAATACTATCTGCAGTTCTGTGGCCTTTAAATATGGTTCATATTATATAGTAGATATTGTGACTCTAAAATGTTTTGCGTATTATAACATTTTGAAAGGAAAAACAGTTTTTTTGGATGGTTTTCTGTCTTTTTATTATAGCCTTTTTCTTTTTAAATTCAAGTGTTTTTGTATGCTTAGGAAAAGGATACATGTAATAACATGATTAGTTAGTTCTGAGCTGGAAATTGGAAACTTTTGAAACTCAGGAAATTGCTCTGACAATGTTTTAACTGCTCTCAATGTAAGAAAATGGCAAAATGCATAAAAAAAGATAAAAATAATGTGTGCTGTTTTTTCCAGTGCTTTTTCTCAATGCTTTTTCATTGTGCAATGAGGTGAAGTTTGATGATATTTTTGTGTAGTGATTAAATATTGCTTATTTTTATTTACTTGTAAAGAACAGATTTAAAAGTTTGTGTGGCCAAAAAAGTGTCATTTAAAAGGCAAAGTAAGTTTATGTAGAATGTATGTTAATGGTGCTTATTTTTGAAGTGTAATTCAAGTTTACAGTATTACTTAATGCCTCTTTACAGAATTTAATAGAGAAAAAAGGCCAGGACACATTTGTGTCCTGAAGAGCCTTTTCAACTTCATGTTATAATATGACAAGGTTTATTATTTTCCTTAAAGTTGAGCAATTGACTTTTATGGTCCAAATGATGAACCTGTTATTAATAAATGATTGAAATAACCATGAGATTTTTTCCTTAAAATATAACATTGCAGCTATCAGTTGGAGAATATAAGATCTTCAGATGGTATATCAGAAACAAAATGTTTTTATTTGTACTATAAAGAAAATGTAATTTTGCTGTTAACTCTGTACTTTTTTATTGAAAATGTTTATAACTTTGCTTTTAAAATTTCTTATGAAACCATTTGCAAATTTCACACTTAATTTAATAAAATGCTTTAGCTACAGTCCAGTGTGAGGAAATTCTTCGTTTGATGTGGTAGGTTTAGTAACTTAAATATTAAAGAATATTTTTGTGTGTAACTTTGTAACTTCAGGGGGAAAGGGTCATAAAAGTTTCATTTCTTTACTACAGTTTTTCTTCTAGTTGATTTTGGTATAATAAGTAGGGATCCACTTTTGAACCAGATAAATGGATTAGGTAAGGCTTTTTTTCTTCACACCCTTGTATCTTTTGATTGACATCAAATGAAGAATTATGGCTGTTAGGAACTCGAATAATACTTTAAATAGCAGAAAGGACTTTCGAACTTAAGGAAAGCAGAATAATTTACTCATTAACAGGGACTTACAATATTTATTCAATAAATATTTATTGAGCACTTATTACTGAGAATATAGTGTAAGACAGCTTCTCTTCACAGGAATCTTACAATTATTCTCACCAACAATTATGTGTATAGTGATTTATACTCTGGAACACTTTCATATGTTATATTTTAAATCTCAAGAGAATCTTATTACATAGATGGTGCTATCCCAATTTAATGGATAAAGAGATAGGATTAGAGAAGTTGACTGATTTGCCAGTTAATGACAGAGATACAACTCCAGCCTCAGTTCTCTGATTCCTAGGATAGAGCAGCTGCATCTGTTATAAGTGTAAGGATAATTACTTCAAAAGATATAATACCCCCTCCTGAGAGAGATGTGGCTACACAGTATAGGTCTATAAAAACCTGCCATTTATGAAACTGCCTTCTTCCTTTATCCAAAGAAAGCTGGTATTTTGTGAAAAGCCCAATGTCAATGGCAAAAGAAAGGTTTACTTCTCCCTTAATAGAAAATCCCAGGGTCCAAGGACTGATGGAAGTGCTCTTTTCCATGAAGTTTGGGGATCTAGGGCCCTTATAGCTCACTATGCTGCCATAGCCAGGATATGGTACTCATTTTCCTAGGCCAGGATGGTGGCTGAACCCCAACTATCCTAACTATATTCTATTAAAGAATGGACAAAGAAGGAGGGAACAAAGAACAAGTACCAGTGGTCTTAAAGATTTTTGGAAGCTGCCATAGGACTCTTACACTTCCATCCTGTTGGCTGGAGGTTAGTGATGTGGTTATATCTAGCTGCAAGGAAAGCTGGGAAATGGTCTATTTCAAACTGCCACATGTTCAGCTATATGTCGGGCGTCCTTGAAGGAAAGAAAATGGAAATGAAGAATGAATAACAATGTCTGCCTTATTAGTTTTTTTTTATCATGTTATGCAAATAATGTGAAAATTAGTTTTTTGGGTTTGGTTTTTAATATTTTTTTCTTTACTTGTAGATGGAGACATAATTTACTTTATTTATTTTTTTATGTGGTGCTGAGGATCATACCCAGTGTTTCACTTGTGCCGGTTGAGTGCTCTAACACTGAGCCACAACTCTAGCCCCTTTTTTCTTTCTTTCTTTCTTCTTCTTCTTTTTTTTTTTTTTTTGGTGCTGGGGATTGAACCCCGGGCCTGTGCACACAAGGCAAGCACTCTATCAACTGAGCTATATCTGTAGGCACCCTTTTTTATTTTTTATTTTGAGACAGGGTCCCTGTAAGTTGCTGAGGGTGGCCTTAAATTTGTGATCCTCCTGCCTCAGCCTCCTGAGTCACTGGAATTACAAGTGTGTGCCACCATGCTTGACTGAAAATTAGTTCTTGTTGCATTTCTTCAATAGATCTTTGTTGATGACTTCCATATATGAGGAATAATGACAAGGAAATCACAGCTGTATATGTTTTAACTTTAAATATTCAAACAATCTTAGTAAACAATGGGATTGATGAAATGGGCTTTCAGTTGATGACTTAATTGCAGGTGGGTTCACCTTTGATGTGATAATTTAATTGTGGCAACTAGATGAGGCTTTTAAGTTATTCCTGGTGATACTCCTTGGAAAATGTGTTTGCATATTGGCTTGTTTTCTTTTAAAACTCTTTTAATTGTGACTATGTCCAAAAGCTTAGTACTTGGTGCATGATATTTAAAGCTAGTAAAATGGACTAGAATTGAATACATTTATGTCTGTGAGTCAGAACTGTCATGCACTAAGTGAGGAGGAATAATTCTTTTGGAGGTGATGAATCTGAACTTTTTTCTCCTGCTTAGAGTATTCAAATGACTTTCTGTAGGAAAAAGATTAAACACTTTAAGTTCATGGCTTTTGTGCCTCACTAAAGGTATAATCTTAGTACTTTTCATAGGTTCTGGAGCACTCTTCATGCTAATCTTGACTTATTCTGTTAGAGGTTATTCAATTTGAATTAAACTAATGAAATATTAGCATTTTAATACTAGTGAAGTCAAAATGTAAACAAATTCCTCAACTTTGGGACTGACTACATTTTGGGGTAGAGAAATGACAGAGTATGTGACCCATCAATAATTGTATCTCTGATCATATGCAGAAGAGGCTGCAGGGTGTGAAAACGCGACAAAGAAATGGGGTGATGAAGTTGAGCGCCTATCCACAGGTCTCACAATGCAGATCTGAATATGCTTTCTTTCCTGTGGATTTAAAGTCATTTGGTGAAAATATTCTTATAACAGGAAGGTATGAAAATATGTCTAAATAATTTTAAACCTGGCCTAGGCTTATAGGTTGTGTTTTGTTATACTAGTGGTAGAATAAATGAAGTTTTATTAAAAACGAGGTTCTAAAACATTGTCCTTACTTGTGAAATTATTATGCCCTCTAAGGAAAACAACATTGGCAATATCTAATGACTTGAGGCAAGTCATGCTCACAGCATGAGAACTTTATTTGGGGAAGATCATAGCCTTGATCTAGTCATAGATCTTAGATTCTTAGGAAAGGCACTAAGTGACATAAGAGGCTGAACCTGGGAGGAGGTATGTAAGTCAAACCGTGTTTCTGGCACTGTTGTCTCTATTTTGTATAGGATATGTGTATTTCATGTGTGTTTCATAGTTACATACTAAGGCTGACTCTCCCACTAAGAAAGTTGGGGCGGGGAATTAAAAACATCCTAAAAACATTACATAGTTGGCCAGTTAGTAGGGGCTTATGGGAGAAGTCTAAGTGAAAGCCCTTAAAGGTGCTGTGCAACTTGGATACTAGTAAGAGACACCCCACAAAGCTAGTGCACTAAAAGGCTTTGCCTTTGTGGTGATGGGGATGGATCAGATAATTTTGCCCTCCTTTCTGTTCCCAGAAGACTCCAAGGAAGATAAACAAAGAGACCAATAAATTAATAAAATGATCCTGAAAAGTTGTAACATATCTAGTCCTCACAGATTAACAGCTTAAAGTCATATCGCTAGGGGAGACCAAAAAACCCTGCAACCCATAAAATACATTAAAAGAGGGTCCCAGCCTGATAGTGTCACCATTAGCAGCCTGATAGAGACAGATGCAAGTCTTATCAGAGAATAATGCACCTTTGTCATGGAGAATTAAATCTGATCAAGACTCCAGATTAACAACCACTTTGTAGAAATTCAAGAAGACAGAAGTATGGAAAATGTCAGACAAACACTCTCATCAGGATACAGTCACAGACTGGGAAACTAGACAACTTGCTTTCTTCAAAAACAATTGCGAAGAAAATAAAATCACACAGATGAAGGAAGAACTCGCACATTAAGACTTGAGAAGCATATCAACCATTTGCGATTTGTGGATCTTATTTGGGTATTGCCTAAGCAAAACCAAAACCAAAACCCCTGTGTATCAATAAAAGATAATTGGCAATGTGAACATTGACTGGATGCTTTATTATATTAAAGAACTATTGCTTTTTTCCCCCATTTTTTTTTTAGCAATGATGATGTGGTAATCTATTTTTTAAAGAATTTACTTTTAAAAAAGGAGATGCCGAAACATGTCCATAAAATGACATGGTTGGGATTTACTTCAAAATAAGATGGCTGAAGTAGATGGTGCTACTTACTGAAACAAGACTGGCCAACTTATGGTAGGTGCTGAAGATGGTTATTCAGACAAACCTAAAATCTCCGCAATGTGACTTATTAGCAGAGTGAGTCATAGCCCTAAGTAGATGACCTTCACTTACTGCTGCCTCCCACCTCTCCTTAGGGTGTATCTAATTGGTGAAATCTATCTTTTATGTAAATCGTACCTGCAGGAGGGGCCTGGAAAATGTAGTTTTTTACTTCCTACCCTCTGCAGTACAGAAAGGCTCATTAAGGCATTTGCCTAGACTTAGAATTTATTAAAGAAAATCAAAGCACATTTTACTCGGATTGTCTGAGGAAGCTATAAAATTTTACTGGTTTTCCTGGCAGTTTTCTCAAAGATTGACATAAACAGTCCCTTAAGGGCCTTCCCATTTTCACTAATTCTTCCAAGTTTTTACAGCTTCTCAGTTCCAAACCTCCCACATTAATTTTTTTTTCAAGTAGCAGAACCCTCTATTTGGCATCAAGTCTGTTGTATCTATTGCTGTATAGAGAGTTACCACCAAATTTGTTGGCTTAAAAATATATTTCCTCAGAGTTTCCAGGGATTCTGGGAGTGACCTTACTGAGAGCTTCTCACTTGAATCTTTCATGAGGATCAGCCAAGATGTTGCTTGGAGATCAATCATGTAAAGGGTTTTGTGGGGTTGGAGAATTCACTTTCAAGGTGACAGCTCACTCACCTGGCTTGGAAATTGGTGCTGGTTGCTGGTGGGAATCCTAATTTCCCCCTATGTGGGCCCCTACAAAGGCTGTCCTTAAAAATGTTAGGTTTGAATTTGGGACCCCCCAAAGACCACCAGAGACCAAGATCCATGTAAGCAGCAAAGAGGTGTTTATTGGAGCTAGCTTGGTCCTCTGTGCACACAGCAACTGGTGACACTGAGAGGCCCCGAGCCCATGGTATGCAGCAGTTTTATACACTCTTTGGGGAAGGCAGGGACTTCACATACATCATAGTGAAGCCAGATTTAAAGTTAGGTAGTCAGTGTAGTTAGGTAAATCGGGTCTAATATCGAATAAAATCTAAAATGGAGGCCATGCTGGGAATGACTCAGGAAAAACAGGACAACTCATGGAATGTTAATGAAAAGGCCCTAGGCCAAAGTCCACCTGGAAAAGTGTTAATGAACATCCCCCAACAGATTTGAAGACAGCCCATCCCAAAGAAATGTTAATGAAGCCCAGGATGCAGCCCCCAACAGATTTGGAGATAGCCATCCCAAAGAAATGTTAATGAAGCCCAGGATGCAGCCCCCAACAGATTTGGAGATAGCCATCCCAAAGAAATGTTAATGAACAGCAAACTTGACTCGGAAATGCCCAGATTACTTCTTTGGCCCACCTGTGTCCCAACCCTTCCCACTTACATTGCATCACCAAACCTATAAAAGGGGAACACATTGCCCGCCAACTGGATTCCACCTTCTGGGTCCCCTTCTTCCTCCGGGAGAAGTCTTTTCTTCTGTCCTTTAATAAATTTCTAATCTCTACTCTGGCCTTGCCTCGGCGTGCTTCTTTGGTGTTATTCTTCAACATCGGGGAGCAAGAACTCGTCACCGGTCAACAGCGGTAACAATAGCATCTCTTATCAAATCATCACACACCACGGGAAAATCATAAAACAATTCTAAAACATGATTAGCACATTCACTGGTGGGAACAAGTTGGGTAAGGGTGATTGGTTAGTACAAGAGGGGGATTCGTTTTAACTGATTGGTTTAAGCCATGAGGGGAGTACATGCTGAACTACATGGTTTTCCAACATGTTATCAACCACCATAAACTACTGAGGGGTCATCTGGCATCCCAGGTATTTCCCTGTCTCATGCTGATTGGTGGTTGCTAGGGGGTTGCTATGGGTCCCCACCTAGCCTGACTGAGTCAAGGACACCTGACTCCACAGATCTCTCCTGTTATTTGTAGATAAACAACTCAGCAGGGTGGGTATGTGCCTAGGAGTGCTCTGTGGGTCTTTCCAAGGACAAAGGTCACGCCCTCTTCCTTGGACAGGCTATGCTCTGAGGTAGAGGCTGGTTTTTCAGTACCATCCCCAAAGTCTGGATTTCTTCATTGCTATGGTGGGTGTGTACTCAGGGACAGATAACTCTGCCTAGGATGGGGAAGAAAAGTAATCACATTTCCCCTGTGATTACAGACAGGGAGAGATTAGGGAGGAGTGGGGGAGAGGAAGAGAAAGAAACATGCCCATTTAAAAATTCAGTTGCTGTGGCAGATAAGCAAGAGCTACAGTAGCAAATTGAGCTGGTATCTGTGATGGTCCAATACTTTTAGGAAAGGCATTAATCCACCTTTTCAAAATCTTCCCTGGACACTGTTAACTACTGGAAGAGGGAGGACAGATCCAGGAGATCTAATATGTGAGTAATAACAGTGAAAAAGGGAAAAGTCAAATTTAATAGAAGCAAATTTTCTGAGCTGACTGAAGTCTTATATTTGCAGGCCGAAAGTGCTCAATAAATTCTAGGCAGGATTGATGAAAAAAGGCACATGCCTAAACATACTCTGATAGAATTCCTGCAACTCAAGGTTAAAGAGAAAGGCCTTACATGCTTCCAGACAGAAATAAATTATTTACAAGTGGAAAAGGATTGGGCTGTGGATACCATTCACCGGCCAGAGTGAAAGAAGTGGAACCATTGTAATTCCAAGAAAATCTCATTCATATAATCCCATCAGTAGAAATGAAAATAGGGCTCAACAAATGAATGACAAGAGAGATTGCAAGAAAGGAAAAAAATGATGAGTGAACAATAACACTTATTGTAAATGTGAATGAAGATGGACTCTCTGGAAATACGCACTCTACATGATAATTAAGACCAAAGAGAAAGGAGACATGCTTGATGAGAAGGGAGTCAATGCTGCAAAATTTCTCAGAAAACCCAGGAGATGGAGTTGGGGGAGGGGTTAAGATCTATAGGAAGATACACATCAAACAACCTAATGACCAAAGATAAATAAATCAAAAAGGAATTATAAATGTAAGTTTAACTTCATAAAAAGGAAATTAGATTTTACTATACATCTTTCAGAACTAGATAGATCTAGTAGACAAAAAGTAAGAAAGACTATAGATGGTCCAATTTGTGCTTTGAATATAGAGAGCCCTTGCTGCTCTGCCACTGTGACTTATTTTTTAAGTGGACATGTTTGTTTTATTCTCTCCCTCTCCTTCCTAATGGCTTCCCCTCCATAATCTTCCTCTCCCTAATCTGGGGGACAGAATTACCTTTCTTCCCAGCATAGGCAGAGTAGTTTGTCCTTGAGCACACACCCACCACAGGAACAAAGTAATTCAGACTTTGAGGATGGCAGCAAAAGATCTAAGAAATGACTATCTCCCCAATTCACAAGTGCGTTACCACCCGGACAGACAGAGAACACGTGGAATGTAGCCTTTGAATCACTTCTTTAACAGCTCCATGTTCCCTCCAATGGGCAGAATCACAGCCTCTGGGACAGGAGTCCCCTGTGTTTCTCCTTTGCTAGCAAAGTGATAAAACTTTTTTTTCTTTCTCAAAATGGTGTCCTCATTATTAGATTGGCATTGAGGACAAGAACTGAGCTTTTGGCAACAGAAGTATACTGTTACAGAAGTATAATTCGTGCATTTGCTTTAACAAGTATGTATAGAATAATACATCCTTCAAACAGAATAGACAGGTTTTTCTTTTTTTTTATTAGTTACACATGTCAGTACAATAATCTTGACAATTCATACATTTGAATCAAATGGGGTATAATTTCTCATTTTTTCTGATTGTACAAGTTGCAGAATCACATTGGTTATACAGTCACTTATATACATATAGCCATAATAATGTCTGTTTTATTCTGCTGCCCTTCCTACCTCCCCTTCCCCTCCCCCCTCCTGCCTGTCCCATCACATCTCTCTACTCAATCTAATGTGACACATTTCTTCTTCTTTGTTTTTTCTCCTCACAACATCATATATGTATTCTGTTTTACAATGAGGGTCTCCTTCCATCTTCTGTGCAATTCCCCTTCTCCCTCCTTTTCCCTCCCATCTCTCTTCCCTATTTAGTGGTAATCTTCTTCTCATGCTCTTCCTCCCTATCCCATTTTGAGTCACCCCTCTTATTTCAGAGAAGACATTAAGCATTTGTTTTTTATGGATTGGCTAACTTCACTTAGCATAATCTGCTCTAATGCCATCAATTTGCCTGCAAATGCCATGATCTTGTTATTTTTTCGTGCTGAGTAATATTCCATTGTGTATTAATGCCACTTTTTTTTAATCCATTCATCTATTGAAGGGCATCTAGGTTGGTTCCACAATCTAGCTATTGTGCATTGTGCTGCTATAAACATTGATGTGGCTGTGTCCCTGTAGTATGCTCTTTTTAGGTCTTTTGGGTATAGTCCGAGAAGGGGAAGAGTTGGGTCAAATGGTGGTTCCATTCCCAGTTTTCCAAGGAATCTCCATACTGTTTTCCAAATTGGCTGCACCAATTTGCAGTCCCACCAGCAATGTATGAGTGTACCTTTTTCCCCTGCATCCTCGACAACACTTATGGTTGTTTGACTTCATAATGGCTGCCATTCTTATTGGAGTGATATGGTATCTTAGAGTGGCTTTAATTTGCATTTCTCTGATTGCTAGAGATGGTGAGCATTTTTTCATGTATTTGTTGATTGATTAGATATCCTCTTCTGAGAAGTGCAGAATAGACAGGTTTTTCTAATTGGCCATTGGCTATTTATAAAAACATCATGAACTTGGGAACACACACA